TAACTGGAGAGCTCAAATATCTATGCTGCCTCTCTGAGTGTCACTCCACTTTGTTTTCAAATGGCTCTGCGATCTGCATGTAAGCTCTGGTGAATACAGTGGCTGAACTCAGATGCACAGTAAATGCAAACAGCTGGCACACCAAGGCTGGGACCACTGAGCAGTGAAACAGCATTTGTCCAGTACGCCTGAAGTCCTGTGTCCTCCCTGCTGTGGATATCATTCTATATAAATAAAACACTGATTGGCCAGTGGCCAGGCAGGAAGTATAGGCAGGACAAGGAGAGAGGAGAATTCTGGGAAGCGGAAGGCTGAGAGAGACACTGCCAGCCACCGCCATGACAAGCAGCATGTGAAGACGCCGGTAAGCCACAAGCCACGTGGCAAGGTATAGATTTATAGAAATGGATTAATTTAAGCTATAAGAACAGTTAGCAAAAAGCCTGCCACGGCCATACAGTTTGTAAGCAATATAAGTCTCTGTGTTTACTTGGTTGGGTCTGAGCAGCTGTGGGACTGGCGAGTGATAGAGATTTGTCCTGACTGTGGGCAAGGCAGGAAAACTCTAGCTACACCTCCCCACCCCCGTACTACCCTCTCCCCTAACCAGTGCACAGCAGAATTGAGAGATGGAGTAAGCCAGAGTGTAAATGATCACACTGTTAATTTTTATATTAACACGTGTGAACTGATACTATTTTAAATGCATCACATTAAATAAAACACATCATTAAAATGAATTCCTCCTGGTGTTTTTACGTACTGAATTTGCACAGACAAATCACAGTTGCATATATTTATAGGCTAGAAGGAGATGTTATGATTTCTAATGCACTGTGGGATGGCTTGATCAAATGAATTAACTCACCCATTCATCACCCCCCAACACTTGACTTTTTTTGTGATAAGAGCATTTGAAGATTACTCTGTTTACATTATTGAAATATGCAGTGTTTGTTAATGAGTGCCTGTGGTTTGAACACAGTTTTCCACAACTCAGGCTGAAATCTGATGGCCAGTGTCGAGGAGTTTTCAAGTAGGGCCTTTAAGAGGGATTTGGTCTTTCTTGAGAAAGAGTGTCCATTTCTTTGAGATCATGATGCTACAGTGTCCCCCCTTCCTTGTCCATTTTCTCGTTTTCAGGTACCACCTCCTTCTATCCACATTCTACCAAAACGCAAGCAAATACAACCACATCATCTTGGACTTCTGTCCCCAGAAGCATGAGCTAATAAACCTCCTTTCAAAAGTAAATTATCCAGTCTCAGGCACTGTGTGACAGCAACGGAAAACAAAGAAGCTTAGACATTAGCTATACCCACTGTGCCACATCACAGATCCTCTCCCAGCGATAATGTCTCCCTCCTGCCTGTGACCTTTACCACTGTCCCCCCCCCCACTCTGTTTTCATGTTTAAACATGGCTCCTGGCAACTTTTAACTTAAGTGTTGTATTTCTTGTTCTAGATATTCAAGGTTACGAGAGGTAGTACTGGAGAAGGAATGTGCTAGCCCAGATGTTTCCTTATCTCCTGGTGTCTAAGGTCTTTCAAAGATCCCTTAAGGGTGATTTTATAATCTTATCTTTCCTAATTATTGTTATCTTATTAATAACTCTGATTAGTGCCAACTCCCCTTCATCCTTACCCCACATAATTCACTTCTCCCTGTTCAAGACCACTCCACCCTTCTCCCGACCTGGCCCCTAAATTCCGACATCTTTTTAGTAGCCCTTCCCATTACTGTCCACTTCTGCTTTGCATTTATTTATTTTCATGTGGGTGTGTTTTCCCTGCCAACATGTATGTACCACATGCATATGGAGGCCAGAAGAGGGCACCAGATCCCCTTGACTGGAATTATAGATGTTTGTGAGCCACCAAGTGGGTGCTGGGAATAGAGCCTCGGTCCCCTGGAAGAGCAGCCAGAGTTCTTAACCACTGAGGCGTCTCCCCAGCCCTGTCTGCCTTCAGTTTTACTGCCAGCTTCTCTGATGCTTTCTGACCCTCCCTACTCCCCAGAACTGCCTCATTTTAGGTCAAGGTGAAGGTAAAGACCATCATATCATATGCTTGCCCAAGCCTTGCTCCTGGCATTATTGACTGTCCATTACTCCGCATGGTCATGCAGGGTGTTTTACCTCTATATTCACATCCTGGTCTTTGTAACATTAACCCCTCCTCAGTGACCCTATATCCAAAAGCCAGACAGATGAAGCCTTACCATCTTTGACTTCCAGCCTCCAGAACCATAAAGCTAAACAAACTTCTTTTTTTTAAACCTACCCCATCTTGAGTATTCTGTTATAGCAACAGAAAATAAACTAAGGCATTAGCTATACTTGCCATACTGTGCAACAGATGGAGATTTTCATGCAGAAGGTCCACTAGAAGGTGCTTCCAGAACACCTCAAGACAGAGCAAGCAGGGTTAGGTAGAGGATAGACTTGAACCGGGATTTCCTTTGGGAAGCTGTGTAATGAGAGACCTCTAGAATGGAACTGAGAGATTCACCTTTGTATCCCTGCATCAGTGAGTTGGGTCCAGGATCCCTATGTCCCTTCTGCTGAGGCTAGTGCATCTGTCAGTTTTCCATCACTGTGGCAAAATGCCCGAGATAAACGACTTCTCAGGACAAGGTTTCCTTAGGCTCACTGTTTCAAAGCTCTCAGCTCATGGTCACTTGACCACATTGCTGTGGGCTTGTGGTAGAACAGAACGCTACAGTGGGAACATGTGGTAGAGCAGGGCTACTCACTTCACAGGAGCCAGGAAGCAAAGAAAGGGGAAGAGGCCTGATGTCTAATAGCCCCATAAGGGCATCATCCCAATGCCCGAAAGACCTTCCACTTGGTCCATCTCTTAAAGTTTCCAAGTCTCCCAAAAGCACCATGGTTTGGGACCAAGTCTTTGACACTCAAGCCACTGGGGGATGTTTAAGACCAGAACCATGACAAATAAATGACCATCTGGTTTATACAGCCTGCACTAAGGAATTATTTTCAGTCTCCAAAAGCATCCTAAGTTCCAAGTCAAGGTTTACACCCTGTATTCCTGAGCACCCTCTGTACAATGAGCTGCCATTGACCTTCACTCAAGTTCTGTGAGCCGGAAGGCCCAGCCCTTCTCCACGGTCTCGATTGATGGTGTCAGTTTCCTACCTCGGCTCCATCTCTTCCTCAGACCTGGGTTCTGTCTTCAGCTCTGTCTGCCCTTCCTACACTCCCTCCATCTCACCCTCTCTCTCAGTCCATCTCTTGCTTCCACCCCTCTCCTAAGACTTCTAGAATCACTTTTCCAGCACATGGATGGTCACCTTCCTCTGAGAAATCTCAAACCCTATTGGCTCCGCCCTCCCCCTCCCCCTCCCCCTCCCCCCACCCCCATGAACTCAGCTTTGCCTGCTCCAGGCTGTCCTCCAGACTTCCGAAGTTTCCAGCACCTCCGCTCCCCCAGGTCTCTCCCTCACAGGCTCCTTCTCCCGCAGCACAGCTCTGAGGACCTCTCTGTTTGCACTTTTTCCTTTTTCCACTCACCCAGTTCATTTCTCACAGATGTTCTCGTCATCGCCTCCTCTCAGCCCCTCCATCCCACTGCCTTAGTCCATTGCTTCAACAAAATACCTGAGACTGAACAACATAGAAAGAACTGAAGTCTGTTTGGCTCGTTTTCTGCAGGTCAAGAAGCCCAAAATTGGACAGTCATGTCTGACAAGGGCCTCACACTATTACAATGTGGTAGAAAATGAAAGAAGAAAGTTATTGCCTTCAAGAAACAAGGGGGACATCATGCTATATAACAACCTCTGGTCTACACACACGCACACATTCATGCACGTGTATACACATGAACACATCCACACACATGGACATACACACAAATAAAAAATAAATAAATATACCCTGCTCTCTGGGATAACCAGTCCAGGGTGGGCCCATAGAAGCTGACTTCCCAGAGAATTAACCCTGTTGTGTGAGGGCAGCATTAATCCCTCCAGGAGCCCTGACCACCCAAACACTCTGAAAGGTCCCACAGTCCTCAACCCTAGGCACCAAATCTCAGGAAGTGTTTCGAAGGAGACAAAACACGGCCAGACCACAGCCCCAACTCATGTTCCCTCTGATAGCCCATTCTTAGCAGCCAGCTGGGTACTTAGAGTGCGGTGCCTCAATAGCCAGGAACTTTCAAGCTTTCCCTGCCTCGCATGACTGAGTTGTCAACTTCACCGGATTTAGAATCAGCTAGGAAACACACCTTTGGATGTGTCTAGGAGGACGTTTCCGGGGGAGGTTTCACTGAGGGAATATTGGAATCCGGACCAGATAACAAAGAAAAACATAGCAAGCCGTCTGAGCACAGGCCCATCCATCCATCCCTCTCCGTTTCCTGACTGCAGACACAATGTGACCAGCCACCTCTGCATTTGTCACTGTGCCTTTCAGTCTGTGATCCACTGCACGCTCACACCGTGAGCCAGAACAAACCCTTCCTGAAGGTGCTCTTGCCGGGTATTTTGACACAGCAAAAAGAAAAATACTGAAGCAGTGGCTAGCCTTGCTCACTGCAGTCACGGCCGGCCGGCTAAGTGCGGGTTGTTCCTCTTGGTAAATCACACAGGGTGCTCGCCCGCTGCTGGGCAGCTGGGGTCAGCAACTCTGCTCCTTCACCCACTGGCAAAGACTGGGCCTTTGCTGTCTGCTCTTCCATTGTGTTCCAATCTAGAAGAGATCTGGCTTTTCTTTGGTTCCAAGGAGGGTAAAAACGATGGTCCACGGGATTTTGAGAGATGTCTCTTGTGCCACAAGGAGTGATAAGTGGGAGGCTTGTCTCTGCAACCCATGAAACCCCTCAAGGATTTACTTCTTCCGGGATCCTGAGATTTCCCCCACCTCATGAGGACCAATCTAAGTCTGAGACGGGGATTATAGAGTGAGTGGGTGGGACAGGGATGGAGGGCCAGCCCCTCTCCTTCTCCTCCTCCGCCCCACCCCCACCCCACAAGTTTCCCGGGGCCACTTCTGCACTACTGCCAGGACCAGGAGCTCCGTGTGCTCTGAATTGGAAGAAAAAAGAAAAAGAAAAGCCAGCTCTAAACAAAGAGCAGCCGGTCCTCGCCCGCCCCGGGCCTGTGGGCGCGTCCCCCGCCGCCGGCCAGTCTGCGTGAGAGGGGCGCAAGGCAGCCTGCCGGAGAGGCAGGAAGCGCGGGGGACGGGTAGACGGCTGTGGCCAGGACAGCCTCAGTCACCACTCCAGGCTCCTGATCCTTCGCTACATCCAGCCCGGCTGTTGTGGCCTGGTAAGTACAGGTGGCGACGGAGACTTGCGCGCCGCTGGTGGGACCGGCACCAAGTGCCAAGGGGATGTCCTGGAAGGGCTCCCCCAGCTCAGCTGCCTGTCTCCAGCAGGACCCCCACAGGGGCTCGGTGGGCTTGAGTGAGGATGGGACAAGATCTCACTGGACCTGGGGTGGGTGCTTGTGTGGGTGTCACACTATGCTCAGCAGAAGGGGGTGGGGAGAGGTCGGTACTACTCTAAATGTCTGCCTTGCCTTTCTGCCCTGGATTACTGTTAACTTCTCGCTGGGCCTCTGAGAGCCTGGGCCATGCAGCATGCCCCTTACATAACTGTCTCTCCAGAAAAAGTCCCCCTCTTTGTTCACCCCAAATGCCAGGGGCTGCCTCCTGTTTGTTAGCTGAGGCAAGGCTGCAGGACCCCATGAAAAGCAGGGTCTGCTAACTGCTGGCAGCTGTTGAGTCTAGGACACTGGGGGATTGTTCCCGGGCAGTGTGTCTTCCCAGGCTGGGCTATCCATCAGGCCCCAGGGCCCTGCTGTGCATTAGTGGAAATGGAGTTCAGCAGGCCTTATCACCTGTGTGCACATGCTGACCCCTGTGCCTGCAGCTGACTGCCTCCCATGCTAAGGAGAATAAAGAAGATTCTGGGATGTGTGGGTTCCCTGTGTACCTTGCAGTGCTCACATTCGTGAACTAGCCGGAAAGTAAGGGGGAGAAGAGCTGGTGGACCTCTTAACTTGGTCTAGACCTCAGAGGGCACAGGAAGAAGCAACCAGAGGCCTCGGCAAGAGACATATATTGGGGCAGGAGGTTAGAGGGGCATCAGAAAAAGAGGCAACTTCTAGAAAATTCCTAAATGTACTGCAGGGCATAGGGTGGTGGTGAAGGGGTGGGGAGAGAATGAGGGGTAGTATGGAGCCAGATTACATGTTCTGTGTTTAATTTATGAATCATAATGAAAACAGCTGGTGGAGTTTGGCACCCCGAGTTTAGACCAGAACTTAGTAGGGAATTTAGCTGCCAAGACTGTGTCACAGCGCTGTGTCCCAGAAAGATTATCAGAGTTCCATGGCTTATTGTGCACGGTGGGGCCAATAACTGTGGTCCTGCTGTCTCCTAGGTGGTTGGAGGAACAGTGTGGAGAATGTCTGGGATGGGACTTTAAGGCAAGGGGATGGTGCTGGGCACACAGGTGCCAGTTGGTGGCTGGGAATGCCCTGGTGGTCTGCAGCTGCTTGGTCTGTGGTGGTAAAAAAGCTCAGCACCAGAGGGGTGTCTGTCTGGAGCCTGTGTCTGGACTCTTGGTTGGAAATGTGGAAACTACAGACAGGCTTCCCACAGTTTCTGTGTAAATGTCTTTGGCAGCCCAGAAAAGAAGCTGGCTTTGATGGCCTTCAAATCCCCCTGGGAGCCTTACTTCTTCAGAAAGCATGACTCCAGGAGAATGTGGGTGATTTGGTCTGCCATCTTGCTTTTGGCTTTAGAACTCCCTACAGTTTGCTCCCCAGAAAGTAGGAAGTGAAGAAGTTGGTTCCCCAAGGCCAGAGGATTGGGGCATTACCTGAAGAATTCTGACTTTTGTGGATCAGGGACTTCAGAACCAAGTCCAGTCTGGGGCCAGGGTAAGGCAGTGAGAGGGTTTCAGCTCCGCATTGATATGCAGACGGCACCAGCACCAAGACATGGTTAGGTGGCTTATGGCCCCTGGATGTCACCTGCCGCAGAGACCTCTTCACATGCGGTAGCTATTTAGTTAATGTTTGTGAAAAGAAAGAACCCTGGGTATTGGGGCCTAGAAACCCAGAGTAAAGTATTGTTTAAAAAAGAAAAAAATCACTTTCAATCTATGGGTCTGCTTCCCATTGGTCAACATCAGGGTATCTCCAAGCATCATTCGGATCTTGGCTCCTGTGTCAGCCAGTTCCTTGAGGCCTTTCTGGGTCTCCCATTTGAAATAGCCTGTCTACAGCTAGACCCCAACATCGCAGTGTATTCCACTGACAGCAATCACCACATTCTAAACTTACCTTTGCTGCTTGCTGTAGTGTAAGTGTGGAGAATTACATTATAATGTATATCATATTATACATTGTAATATGTAATTATACATTATACAGTATATTATAATTACATTATAATAACAAAAATACATTATGTTTGTTATATGTCAGCTTCCAGGTAGGATTTTCTTTGACCATGGAGTCTTACCACACAAGCTAGAAAAACACCATACCTAAGGCTTACAGGCATGTTCCCAGCTCCACGTTAAAACATTCTATTGTAACTAGCCATTAATAGCTATTTAGCCTTCGAAGAGGACCTACGCAGCAACGCAGCCCCTCCCCACACAGAGTGGTTATTCTGCAAACCAGGGGTGGTCATGGCATCCATCCTAGGCTTGTTTTTATACACCTGGTTTTGGTTCCTAGGATGTTCAGTCAAAATCAATATGAAAAGAATTCTGCACACGTTCAGCATTGAGGTGCATGTGGGATGGGCATGAGATGGGGAGGAAGCATTGAACAGCAACGAGGTGGCCGAACTATTCACAGATTTAGGGTGGCTGTATCTGCCCTTGTCCTCCCTGAGTGTGTTCCCTGGCCGCACTGCCCAGATCGCCCACAGTCATTTTCTTTGAGCAGAGGGCAGTGGAGGGAGAGCCTTTCCTCAGAGCCATCTCTGAACTCTAAACCAGCCATGGGAAGGAATCCGGCCTGCAGGTACATCAGCATGCTTCCTGGTGTCTCGACTCTCACCCCCGGATAAAGCAATCACTCATACTCTCTCTTCCTAAAAACAAAATGGCACATGAGGATGTGACCGCTATGTCCAACGCCACCCCGCCACCCCGCCCCCAGAATAGGCTCATCACCAAGTTGAGTCTCTCCCAAACTCCTTGGGAGAGCACGCCTAGCCATACCTGCAGTGGAGAAGCAGGTGGCATTGTTTCATCCTGGGTGGTTTGAGAGAGGGGGAGTTGACCAAAGAGAACTGGAATGTTCTGTGAATTCCTTTGGGCTGCCAACTTTGCTCCTTGTACCTGGTCCTGTTCTAGCTGATCCTTGTGGGCCTCTGGGTTCAGATAAAACACCACATACAAGGCAGATAAAACTGGGGAGGTGACTTGCATAGCACACATGTATTACATGGATTCATCAAGTGTCGACCATGAGCCTTGAGCTTCTGGGCCCCAAGGGATCTGTGAAAACACAGCTGCTTCTCTCTAAGCTCCAGTCACTGACATATTTTTAACCTCACTCCCAGGAAGAGATGAAAAACAAGCAGGGTGGAAACTACACCACACACACACACACACACACACACACACACACACACACACACACACAGAGCCACAACTGGGGCACAGAGAGGCATTCTGGCTCTGCCCTTCCTCCTGTGTGACCTTCTGGGTGTCCCCTGACCTCACTGTGTGATTATTTAGTTTTCTCATCTGTAGATCTGAGAAGTGATCTCCTCTAGTGAGGTGTGTGGATGGCGGAGTACAGAGGGAAAGCATGGCAGAGGGCTTGGGTTCCCATGGGTGACCACAGTGGAGTAGACGGATGAGGCAGGCAACTACTGTACATTGTGGCTCGTATGGGAACGATGGAGTCCTGGGAATTATGCATAGACCAGTCTTCATCTCCCTGGACATCTTCCCTGGTCCCTGCCTGTTGTAATTTGAATGAGAATGGCCCCCATTGTTTCATATGTTTGAATGCCTGGTCCCCAGTTAGTGGAACTGTTCAAGAAGAATTAGGACATGTGGCAGTGTGGCTTTGTGAGAGGAGGCATATCACTGGAGGTGAACTTTGAGATTTCAAAAAACCCACATTAGGTCCAGTCTCTGTCTGTTGGTCTGTCTGTCTCTTTGTCTCTGTCTCTCTGTCTCTGTCTCTGTCTCTCTCTCTGTCTCTCTGTCTCTCTCTCTCTCTCTTTCTCTCTCTCTCTTTTTCTCTCTCTGTCTCTGTCTTTCTGCCTGCTGCCTAAGGATCAGGATGTAAAGCTCTCAGCTACTGCTCCAGCACCATGCCTGTCTGCTTCCTGGATGATAATCATGGATTAACCCTCTAAAATTGTAAGCAAGCCCCAGTGAAACGTTTTCTTTTATAAGAGTTGCCTTGGTCATAGTGTCCCTCCATAGCAATAGAACAATAACTAAGACACTGCTACTCCTCAGGCACTCCTGTGCACCTGTGGGGTACAGCTGCCTTTCAACAGCCCCATCCACCTTTTCCACAGCCCTTCTTGAAGGCTTGTGATCTCCAGGAACTGGCCTCTTACAGAGGGTTCTGAAATGTGAGCAACTTCTCTGGCAGGTCCCTGCTGTGTTCTGGAGCAATGAGCAGGCTCCCTTTTTGGCAAAGCCGTGGGATGACCTCTCAGGGGTTCTCAATCCTACCCCAACCTTGGGATTCTTTCTTCCTTTGTCAACATGGAGTTCATATTTTAAAAGATCTTTGTTAATCAACTTTTAATACATGCAAGATATTTGTTTCTCTAGTTTAAAAAAAAACTTAAAAGATTCAGTACCTGGTGGTTTCATTTTACTATGTCTGTTCTCTTTTCTATGTTATATTGTTTTCATTTTAGACAATCAGTTTACACCATTCACTAAGAGGGCAGGTGTGAGGATGTTTAAAGAGAAGAAAAGCAAATGGGGAGGGGAGAGAAGAAATTGTCCAGTATGTCTGAGGCTTGCAAAAATGAAGAAAATTAGGTCAGACTGTGAAGCCCATTTGGCGGGTAAGGGTCTCCGTTTCTCTGAGTGTTCTTGAAATACCGCAACGAGGCTTATTTCTCAGAGTTGCCTCTCTGAGAGCATCAACCTCCCTGCACTTGAAAACCACTGTCCTCTTCCCTGGCTTTGAACTTGTGTCCCTCAGCATCAGCTAGAGATGGGATCGGATGGTTGGTTCTTTTAGCCCTATCAACTAGCACAAAGTTTGGCTCAAGGAGGTAGTATCCACTAAATGCTCATGGCACGGACATTTCAGGAAGA